TGGATGATGGTTGTTGAGACTCTTGCTGTTGAAAATTCATTGGACCGGTCGTATAATTAAAATTGGAATTATCCCACAATCCTTGATCATACCTGTTTGGGTAAGGGTTATACCACGTTTGAAATCGAGGTGAAAAATCTCCAAAAGTATCAATTGGAGCACTTAGATTATCTTAAAATGCAGGGCATGTGTCGGTTGAATAATCTGAGACAAAATAAGTTTCACAATTTGCAACAACCCATTGATCATTAGGAAAAACACGAGTCTCATAACCCCATTCAGGAATAAAGTCCAGTCTATCATCAAAATATGGAATGTTAACAGCCATAAACTATATAAAAAAATAAGAGAAAAATAAATAAAAAAATGAAAACAAGATGAACTCAAAAAGAAACAAATTAATCTGGCACCAGTCCCCGACAACGGCGCCAAAAATTGACAGGTGTCGGGCATGTGTAATAATAAAAATCTGTTCAACTAAAGTTAATTTCTGTAGATAGTGGTAAATAAGGTCGAATCCACAGGGATTGGGTGTAACTGTTTCTTTTCAAATTCACAATAATCAGGGAGTATTTTTGTGCAGAAGGTGACAATCAAATAAATGCAAATAAAATTCAAGAAACTACTAAAAATTAAATAACAATTTACTAAAGTCAAATGAATGATAACTAATGATCTAGCTAAGAAATAACCTCAACAATGGTTCATTTAATTGATCATTGAAATAAAGGCAATTCCAATTATTTACTAATAAATAGATTATAATTGTCAAACAAGCAATGACAGTCAACCCCTCCTTACTGTGCCAGTAATTAAGGTACGCCCATTAATCACTGTCCTAATTGAGAAATAATTTTAAATACATCCGTAAGATTTAATTCTCCAATTGTCTTACGTATTAGAGGAGTTCTATTCTAATCAAATAACACACTATCAGGGTTATTTTAGATTAGCTCGCGTATTCTCCCGACACAAATCTAATCATGCCAGTTGACACTATTTTGAGGTAATTAAACAATTACGAATTTAATGCCCTAATTGACAATAGATTATCAAATTAACTAATTATCCGGATCCAAGACAATCAATTAATTAAATAATCATAAGTATTGCAATCAAGAAATATGCGAATACCAATAAATAAAAGGAAAGGATAAAATTAAATTAATCTCACAATTTTTAGGCGAGTCAGAGCCTCTGTTGTCCCTTGACTAGAGTAAGAAAATTAGGCCATATTCGATGCAAAAAATCCATACAAAATTGAAAAGAAAGTTGCGGCCATTGTCTTGGGAATTTGGCAAATTCAACTCATCGAATGTTGACGAAAAGCGAAGTCACAGAGAATCATTCAATGTTTCAATTGGTCTTGACATACAAGTGAATAAAGCTACCAAGAGCCTATGCGAAGAAAAGTCAAAAGCTAAATCTCCATTAGTGCTAGTTCCCTGCTATTCCTATTTCCTATTTGATGCTTCTACTCTAATGCCTAGTTATTGTGCGGCGCCCCCCAACGGTAAGGAAGACTTCGGTCTTTTGTTCCTTTTTTCCAGTGCTGTCTTTCGCAAATTACCAAAATGGGTCGCGTCTTGATATTCCAAAAATACCCCTGGACACTTGCTAATTGAACTCCTTTCTAACGATTGTCAAATTGGCACTTGTTATGATATTTTCGTTCTACTCACTGAAATAAATGTAAAATATCAAAAGTGAGCAGAATCTAGCAATTAATCTACATCGGGTCAGGTAATAGGGAAAATTAATAATAAAATAAATGATAAAATTGCAACCTATCAGCACATGAAGTTCATGGTAGTTGAAGGGGAAAATTAAGAAATCTATGAAGGGAAAAAGAATCGACAACTTTAAGCAAGATGTATTAAGCTGGTAGTTGTATTATCATGCAAGAGTTAAACTTGTAGCAGAATTTTTTGTTGCCAAGATTGTTAGCTTACCTCATTATGAGCTTCCCAAAATTGAAGCACTGTAAATGGGATAAGCTTTTCAGCATCAAGGTCAAAGATAATAGTGTTTATGGAGCCCGTACTATCATCCATAGTAATCCCAATTCGGGTCCTATTACACATTGGAAATAAAATATTATATTCTAATTTTTCATTACAAGAGAAGGAAACTTAATTTGGTAATTACCTTGCTACAACTTTGCTCTCTTCTTTGCAAGATGAGCATCTCATAACCCATCATACGTCAACATTGATAGCCTTTTGGCAGTTCTCACATGCTTCAAACCAGAATTTTTATTGCCCAGGGGTCAAACTGATTTTTCTTATTATCCAAGTTGTTTTCACCTAATAGATGTTTTTGCGAACAGAAAGAAGAACACCTGAGTCTTGCATTATTTTGGATGGCTAAAAGATATAAATCAAGATATAAATGAAAAAGGAAGATACATCTTTGAGTGTGTTAAGTGCATTGGCTACACTAATCATGTCATTAGCACTTGGAGGTGGCAACAACTTAGATGAATCTTTGTATGCCATTTGTTGTATCAACTCTGCAATTTCTTCTTTATTTGCATTATACCTATCCAAAAAATTAATGCAACAGACTATAATTTATCAAAAGGATCTAGAAAAGTTTAACTTAAATGATGAAAGAACATACGTACCATTCTTTGAGTGCATTTGCTTCAGAAGTGGGAGGATTAATCAGAAGGCCACTCCCAGGCTTAGTTGTCAGGAATAAGTCTAATAATAAAAGTGCTAGTTTTCATTAAGTAATAGAGCAATTTAAAAGCTAGTGATTGGTATCTTCATTTTTGGCTTGTTTTTTTAGGTGAATGGGTAGCAGTAGCATAATTGTCAAAGGGTTGCAATAGGACACAAAAGAAGATTACCAAAGGGTTGTAGTCATCAACAGGCTCATTGGACTCTTAAAAATGTCATCAACCACTGGAGTTTGGAGTGGATGATGAAGAATGTTTGCATCAAGCTTTAAGTTTTTACCAATTTTCTCCTTTATTTATTGTGCTTTATTTGCAGAAAAAGTATAACTATCAATATTAACAAAATCACCTTCTCAAATAAGCAATCATTTGTTTCACAAAGAATCACACAAAACAAATAGCACCAATAAACTTAAAATAAATGAAGCAGAAACTGAAAAAAAAAACTATTAAAAAGAAAAGGGAAAAGTGAAATTTTACTTATGAAAATATAGTCACATAAATGAAGAAAAGCTATTCATAGATTCAAGAAAGACAACAAACTGACCTTCAAGTTAAAGGATTCCTTAGAGGAACCGCAGCAAAAGGAACCTATCAATTGAAGCATCTATGTATATTAGAATTTATTAATCTGTGTATTATTTATACGTCGAAAATTTGGCAAAAAAAAGGGGAAGATTTTTTCTCACCAAAGAGACTCCAGAGAACAAGGTGTAAAGACTCGGAGGCTTCTTCTTGTAGTTCATAAGGCAGAGGAGCTAGCACCATGCACTGATAAATACGTCTATTCCATTTTTTTGATTTCGTAAATCACTGGAAAAGGTCCAAGATAAGTGAATAGGAAACCTATTTCTTATCATAACTGGAATAAGAGGAAAATCACATCTAAACAGATATTTCTCATTATAATCGTACGTCTGATGAGAATTGAATAGAAGCATGATTTGAGCGGAAAATTGAATAGCAAAGCTAATAAGAATAGAATGCCATACCTAATCTAACAAAAAATCCCCCAATTTCACTCCTTTAAAGTACAATTATCACGTGAGTGTCCAACAATTGGGCAACATAAAATTGATACAGAAATGGGTTAAGTAGTTCACCTGCTCCCAATTTTCCTCCTCTAAAGTATAAACACCATGTGAGTAATCAGCAATCAAACGTCTGCAAGAGTAGCCATTGACCCACTGGCTTGAAAAAGGAACTCACAAAGCCCATCTCACAAATCATGAAAAAATCCAAACTTTTTACATGCTTGAAGAGGGTTGCTGACCTGCTGGGTTTGATAGTATAGGCGTTTGGAATTGGACTTGCTCAGAATAGGTGCGGCGAATTTTTGCTCAGAATAGTCATGTGGTAGAGAGAAAAGAGGAAAAGGTTTCAATGGCAATCTGACTGAGAAAGAAACAGTGCATTGCCAAAAGAAGGAAAAAGCTTCGGTCAAGTTGCAAGGAATATTTGACTTTGCCACTTGTTAGAGAATTAAGAAGCCTATGGCAAAAGATAAGGGGAGCACTAACGAGAATTGAGAAAGGAACAGTTCAATGCCAAAAGAAGGAAATACAAGGCTTCGGACAAGAGAAAGCTTTAGACAATTTGCAAGAAACATTGTACGTTGCCATTTGTCAGATAATTAAGAAGCCGCGTGGCATAAGGAAAGGAAAACACTAAACCTTGCTCCCTTCTTATATACAAGGTAGATATTATACTGGACCATATTATGCAATTTTTTTGTAAACTAAGCACCAACTCCTCCTCTATCAAGTTAGGCAAACCTTGTCAACTTTTGGATCAGTTTAGGACTGCCGAAAAGTTTAATCAAATGATCAATTACAGTATTGCGATCGGAAACAAATTATTTGATAAATAATTTTTCCAAAGAAAAATTTCACTTGCATCATAAACATATTTCTCAATCTACCTTTTTATATTCTCAATCACCTTTTTATCTCACATACATCACATCACAAAAAGTATTACAGTAATTATTCTAAATAATTATTTGGAATAATACTCTATCCGAACAAAGTTAAACCATTTTGCCTTATTATGTAGTATTGTTTGGTCTACCCCACTTAAATTGACTAGCAATGATTTAATCATCAAAAAATTCTGTTGGTTTCTTGCTCTTTTTGCGAGTTTTACAGACAAACCATGGCTTTTCTTAGTGATTTGCTTTGTAACTCCTCCCAGTCTCACGTATTTCAACAATATGAGTCCTATAAATCGTGTTTCCTCTCTGGTTAGTTGCCTTGCTCATTTGAAAACTGCAAAAGAAATTAGCTTGGTTGTTTGATTAGGTGTCCTGACAGAAGGCGATGTAATTCCTGCTAAATTATTCTCGAAGCCATTGATGTGTTAATGGGCATTTTGTTTCTGCTACTATGATACCATTCATCTGATCAAAGTTGCTACAACTTTTGAACTACTGTGCATCTGTTGCTTGTGCGCCTTAATGCAGCATTCGAAAAGCTATACAAATAGAGCAGCTGCATTTACTAAAGCACGCCATTTCTGCACTGCATCCTCGACGAAATCTACCAGCAGGGTCCTTGTTTACCTGGAGCATTTTGCATTAAAAAATATTTACACCAGTTTACCTTGTTTTCCAACTCGATTACTCCTTGTTGCTCGAGGATCTATCTTTCTTTGGACCACCAAGGATACGAGAAATCTGCAGACCCCTGCTAAACGCCTGGTTGAATAACATTCGTGTCTGGAACTCCGAGACAAAAGGGAACCATGCCAAGAAGGCGACGGGTGTGAACAGCAGCAAGCCCATTAACATTTCGTAACCCCGTGAAAGCGTCCGGATTGATCCCCATATCCCAGCTCGTTGAACCCAAGGCCTCAAAGCTTGAGCAATCTGATTTTTGTTTCAGGTGTAGCAGAGGGTGAAAAATCAGAACCAACCATTGAAGACATAAGTGTTGGATATGGTTATGGAAAATCACAAACCTAATGTGGAAATACTAGTCAACTCCTCTGAAATTTACTTAAATGCAATTGAAATAGGGATCCAAATCAATAGGGAAAAAAAAAATTGAAATATCAGACTTAGGAAAGATTTCACTCACCAAAAGTAATCCCCATCCAGTTGGCATAAATGCAAGGATGCAAACTATAATATCCCGAAATGTCAAGTGAGGAAGTGCAATTAATATAATCAGGATTGCAACCAACGAAAGGAATATGAGGCCTTTGATTAATCGAAACACAAGTTGAAAATCAGCACTTAGTCGCTTTCTTCCAAATGATATAGCCTGCAAAGATTAAACCAGAAATGAAAGACAAGTACAAGGTCATTTTACAAATCCTTATCAAGCAGAAACTAATCATCAGTTTGAAACCCAAGCACACAAAAGCCATTATACTGGAAACATCTCTAAAATGTTTGAAATTTCCGTCCTTTGTAGAGCATGGTTTTCTGTCAATCATTATTATAAAAACTTACGAAACCTATATTCAGCAGACACGATTACTTGATTGTTTGTGTGTGATATAAAAAACTACCAGCAGTTACAGAGTTATTCCCCGGATACCCCAGTTGGAGCATCAAAGAAACAAAAGTAGGGAACTATGCCATACAAGTTCATCTCACACTAGAACATAGCAGAAAGCCTCTTATGCTGCAAAACTTTCTTCTTCTTTCTAATTTCTTTAGTTTATAAGACCATCTGAAAAATAATATATAATACTGGACAAGCTTGTAAAAAAAATATAAACGATTAAAATCTTGACTGAGCTCACCTTCAGCAATAGCAATATGAAGAAAATCACAAGCCATGAAATACCATAAACCTGGAAACAGAAACAGCAATAAAATAAATTCAGTTAAAGGCTAGTTCAGTCAAAGAGGTTAACAACTTTGTCATAAGGATGTAGTACGAAGTGCAAATAATCAAATACCAGAAAGCTTCTGTGATCCTTTGTAATTGAAATGTGATAAATAAGACCATACTGATAAATGAAGAAGCGCAGAGACAGCAGTATTTCCACTATTATACCACGCTTCCCAGAATGATGAAGATGCTCCTGTTCTTTCTCCCACCATGATTCCCAACTCTTTTCTGGTGGCACACCAATACCACCGCGGTTGTTTATCCACTTATTCCAGTCATTCCAATCATCAACAATCTTTTGCCACTCAAATCCAGAAGGGTTGAAGAGGAAAGGAGCAAAAAGCCATGTTCCAACTAAGAACCAAATTGATACTGTTATCAGTACGTATGCGACAACACCTCGGTATGCTTTACCAAATATGTGATATACAAGTAGCAGAATCATCAGTTCAATTCCCTTGACAAAATGAGTCCTAGAGTAAAATCTATAGTTGTCTGCAAACCTAGCATGAAACACAACAAATCCTCGACCTGTAGCTCTGTATTGTGCACCACCATGAAGCAATGTTCTCCCATAATAATGGGTTCTAGTTCCAAGAGAAAATGTGAAAAATACAGGAGCAAGTTGTAGTTGCATAAGTACAAAATCAGTTAATGCAGTTCGGAAACCCCTTTCAAGACCAATCTCCATCATCATAGGTAAAGCCATTAGAAGTCCAATTTGCACAAAAGACTGTGAAGCTAGAGCTACTTGAAGAGGTTTATTGTCACGAATTGCAGGATGGTTGCTCAATTGCTCTTCAAGACCACTAAGGACAAGATACAGACGACCATAGAGAAATACATAGACTATAATAACAGTTATCTGCAAAGAAGACCAAGATATTTAAAGTATTAATCCAGAGAGATAAAAACAAATAAATAAATAAATAACTTTTCCATTGGTATAATATTATCAAGTAGATCAAAAAGATAGGTTGAATACCAAGGTACTAATATAAAACCCAACAGTGGTTGCGTAACATGACAACATGCGGAAGAAATCAAACCGGTGACCTAGCCTGTAAACATCACGACTCATTGTCTGCTCGCCATTGCCATTAGCTATCTTTGCCTCAAAGAGTGCAATTTGATTAAGGCCCACATCCCTACCTTTACCCACTTGTATGTATTCATGGTGAGTGACATTGCCACCACGGAGCGTAGAATTAAAACCTAGATAAGCAGGAAAAATAAAGTGTTAAAATATCAAAATCCAGAATCCAACAAAACTACATAATTAGGAAACTTTCAGAGATGTGAGAATGCCTGCAAATATGTCCTCGCTTAAGTTGATAGTTTTGGAAGCCTTGCTAATGCCACCTCTAGTTAGGTGAAACAATCTATCAAATACATCGGGATGGCCATAATGGAAACGAACCCTGGAAACTCAATGAACAAGACAAACAAACAGAAAAAGAAGATAATTGATATTAGCAATAACTTAATGACCAAGCCACACATTTTCTGGATACTATTGTTAATTAGTTCTACAAAGATAACCATCTATTAGAGATAAGAGCTTAACTTTTTTGTACCAATTAATTATGCAGGTAATCAAGCAGAACTTACAAGAAAGCTCAAATGACTATGAAACAATTACACTGACTCCTTCAACCCACCCCCCCCCCCCAAAAAAAAAAAAAAAACCCACTGGATGCTTAGCTAAAATTGCCTTTTGGTTCCATTTAATCCCTCAATCAAATCTTTAGAGCCCATCCTCCCAGAACTGCAAGTAAAACTGTGGTTTATCCAGATTGTCTGAAATTCCAAGATCCTACTGTGTCACATTCTTGATCACTTCTACAAACACCAGTATTCATGAGACAACTAGAAGTAAAATCCCCAGCTAACATAATTTATGAGGAACGAGATACTTATCTAAGTTTCAGATTGACAACTTTGCATACTTCACGAATAAATTTTGGAGACTGCATCCAGGTGACTTACTTTAATGGATTGGCCAACAATCTTTGACCAATTGTGACAAAGCTCGTTTCCTGATTTGACATGAACCATGCAAGCGAAGAAACACTGCAGAGATAAAAAGTCATAGATAAATTCAGAGGCTGAAAACTAGAAAGGAGAATACAAAAGATAGCAATTAAAAGTCTGTAATTATCACACCATTACAAATCTATTTCATGGTAGCATGAAGACCATAATTCAGGTACATTAACAACTGTATAAATACCTGCCCGTGAAAATGTGCTCCCTAAGTCCCAGTATTGTTGGAGTGCTCACGCCATGCTTTATAAGAAACTCTTGCAATAAATTTCTCATCTTGAAGGCCTCTTCCATGTAATTATCCTATACATGAGACAATAAGGAGCCTTTCATACAATACCAAAAATCTTAGCACACATGTCAATTTCCTGGTAAATACCTGGTTCATATCTATGGTTTGCAATCCTTCTCCACGTGTGAAGACAATTGCATGGTTCTGGTTTTCTGGTTTTCCTTCACCCATTAGTGCTGGCCCTGGCAGTTTAATTCGATATATAACCTGACAAGAGATTATGATACAGCCAAAAATAAGAGGTTTACATGTATGAAATTGCGATGAATCTAAATGGTACCATTTGGTCACATCACCATAAACCTGTATAAATTATATAAGATCTTGCAAATGCGATCTAATTCAAAGCACTAAAAAATGCAGTCAAATATTCAAGAGTAAAATCACAAAGAATTAAGCTTCACCATGATCTACAACATATTTCACCAGAAAATGCAATATTACAAAATAAGGATATAACACCATTGACAAGAATCATGAACATAACTAATTAAAATGGACTTCATATTGGCATCACAAGATTGATATCAACTAATGCTGAAAAACTCAAAACTACAGATCAGGAGTCTTAAATAGCAAATACAACAAAATTTTTACTGTACCTGGGAATTCAAATCGATGTCTTGTGAATTTACAATAAATACCTGATCTAAATTTTGATCTGGTTCAGAAGAGTCAACCGACTTCGGCATAGCCTTGACAAGAGCTGAATAATAAACCTTCTCTACCGTCTTTTTGGTTTTATCTTTGCTAGGTTCCTCAACCTCATCAATGTAAGCAACACGAATCGAGGGATATCTACCAGAAAATATTAGGTAAATGCAAGTGACCATTGCCAACTAAAATTCAAAGGAAAACCATTTCATCAACCTACTTTGTCATAAGCCTTAAAATATCAGCTGCATGAGGATCACCGGATCGCTTTTGAATGCCATACTGTTGACAGGAAACCACATATGTGAACTTCATGTCTGCAACTGCTTGACATTGAACTAGCAAGGACCTCTCATTCCTCAACTGCTCCTCAGTATTTGATACAACAGCTTTGTAGCCTTTCAACAGTTCTAAAGGAATCCAATAACTAAAATCATCAGTACTCGAATTACAGTGACAAACAGGAGAATTAAATTTCTCTAGACACCTTCATCTTTCGCCATATCAAGAAACGCCTGAAGTTCCAAAGCTTGCCGGTAGTACATCATGCCCCGCACTTGATCAATCCAGCAGCAGAAAATGGAGGGGAAATTGTGGAAAGGTAAAAAGCAAGCACATAAAATATCAAGCTGTAAGTCCTTTATGCATGCTCTTCAAATGATGGCATAAGCACAAAATAAATTCTTTACCAGTTTTTGTTAATGTCTGGCCTCTGTAAGATGCCCATAGACGGAGTTCTTCTTCCAATTTTACATTTCCCATGAGATCCTCTTCACTGCTGCAATCAACTCTCTCAAGAAAATTGTCCCATTCATCTGTAACAAATTTCTTATGGTTCGCTCTGGCAAATTCCATTCAAATGCCATGCAAGGGTGTGCAAGGACAATTATGGGCCAAAAAATGAAAATATTTTACCTGGATAAATCTTTTGCAGATAGAAAAGTATTGAAACACCATCTTCATTAGGTTTCTTCAGCGAATTTATAGAGAAGAGAACCTCCTCATTGTAGTAAGGAGTTAAGGTACTGCAAAGTAATAAAAGCAAGCCAACTTAGATGCAAAAGAAAGAAGATCATTTCAAGTCGAAGGAATCCTCCCTAGATACGTTCGTCTAGTCAACAGTTACAATCAAGTTCCATTCCGCGCGATAGGCATAGGAAGGGTCATAATATCAATTTTTCATGAAACTTCAGGATTTGCAATATATGAAAATTGACAAGCATACTATGATCCACATAAACAGTTTGAAGCTTTATGGACAGGATCTTCCCAAAAGATTTGCTGAAAGGACAAAAAACAGATGTTTGTACCTCCAGAAGGTTAAAACTTTCAGCTTAGAAGATGTCAGTTCCCACATGCATTCCCTAAAAGGTGTAAGGATCCATATGTCTATGAGAATACCACACTCAACCAACATTTGATTGTGAAATTAATAAGCAAACAATAGTGCTTATCTAGAAGAAGCACAACTTTGCAGCAGCTGAAATACTTCCTTTCAGAAATGCGCTCAAAAACAGGATTTACTTTATACTAGTAAGACAACTAACAGAAATTAGGAGCATAGTGGCCATCATAGAAGGTAAATAATTTGAGGCCGAATAATTAAATGAAGGTGCAAAAATCATAATCTACTCAGAATATGAACTCTACCTCCAGCAGAATAGAGATCTGACATTGATAGTCCTAGTTATAGTGCATATTGTAACAAGAAGCACTTTGATGTACAATAAGAACAGAAACCATGGTCCTAACAAACTGTTCAGACCATTGGATAAAAATCAGAACATGACAGAGTGCGCAAATAAAACAAAGTTTAAGGTATTACATGGTCCTGGTGATGACATGTTAAGAAACAAATGTAAAATTAGAAGATCAATAATTATGTTTCTGGTAAACACAATACAGCGAATACCTGCATGCCTTGCACTATAAATTGTAAGCATTAAACATTTAATTTTTTTTAATTACCACTTGTCAAAAAAGACAGCAGATTGTTGTGAGCCATAGCGGAATGTAGACTTATATAACAAAATCAATGTCCTATTTGCAAAGCTTATATCTGCTGACATTACTCTAATACACATGCACAGGCATATGAGGGTATGTATGTAAGCAACAACTATCTCAAGCACCATAAATGAAATCCTTAGCTCTTAGACCTATGAGACAATGATGTAACTAAGCTCCATTCCTAAGACATGCTCTTCAATGTGGGAATATCTATAATAGTTAATCTGAACTTACGAAAAGGAAAGCATGTTCCGAACTTTGGGAGCATCAGGCATATCCATAAACAATGAATTTGAGAAGAAAGAGATACGCCTCCGAGCTTCTAGATTAGAGGGCACATCCATTGCTGACTCCTTGACAGTAAGCAGCAAATGTAGCCTTTGTATCTGAAAAGAATGGTAAATTCAGATTGGTCTCTCAAAATTGATCTTCCTTTCTTTTGCCACATTAACAAAGATTGAGCATGCATACTTAGGTCATGCAGTGGTTTTTTTTTCTTATTTTGTACAGAAGATTTAAATAGTTTTGTTGGCTCATGATGTCATACTGAGGTTTTGACCTCTATACAAGTACACTTGCCAGTTATATTCTAATGAAATTACAAGTTAGTATTAAAAAATTTATAAAAAATACTGCAAAATGTTAAGCAAGGAATCGAGAAAATGAGCCATTCATTAAAGATGACAATTCTTTTCAGTTGTACAAACCCCTAATGAGTCTAGATCACCAATCCTACATGCAACTATAATTATTGCAAAATAAGCAGAAAATTACACATCAAAATGTCCAAATGTCATGCACCACTGGCAGAATTTACCTTCTCTTTCCATGCATCTGTTTCTTCTGTCACTGGGAACCTCAGTGTGCCAAAAAATTGATATTGTTTATCAATAGGCGTCATTGCCTCATGCATGCTGTAAGAGCCACCATGACTAGAGTCTAGAATACTGTAGAACTGGATTAATCAGAAAATGTGGACTATCTTATCAAGCAAATATGCAGAAGAAATCAGATGCTTATAATTTACCTAGGAATTGAGTCTTCCATTATGTCCCTGGTCACAACCTCAAACATGTTGAGCAACACAATTACTACTTGATCCTTGTCCTCTTTTTTATTCTCTTTCTGTATTGTTCACAAATTTCTCAGTATGTCTCAAGATAATCCAATAATAGATGCAACTCAAAAAGTGTGTGCAATTTTAAGTACCAGGTATTCGATAAGCTGTACAAATTGCTCATAAAGGCTAGGAAGGGCACCCATTTGAAATTCTACTGTTAGATCACCTTTCTCTACGTGTTCATCAGCTTTGGAGAAAATCTCATTTAGGACCCTGAACGTAAGAAACATTGAGTAAATACAGAAGGAACTAAAAAAGGCGGAATTCTAACTTCCATTTTTGAACTCCATTTTTCTAATGTAAAACTTACACTTTTTCACGTTCACCCACAACCAAAGAATTGATGATGCTTTTACATGAAAGATAGCATTCACGAATTGCACAGCGCATGTAAACATCTAAAGTCAGTCTCTTGTTCAGCTCACGGACACGGTCTTTCCCAGCACAATCTTTAGCCATATCCAGTGCAATAGGAAGCTATATGTAGAAATAGATAGATGAACATATTTCTCCCAGGAGATAAAAGAAAGACATTCAGGTGCCACAATACCTTGCTAGCTAGTAAAAATGGAGGCCACTGGATGAGATTTAAATCACGATCTGCCCAGTAAGGCACAAGCAACAGGTTCATTTCCCTATTGAATGACTCCAAAATGATTTATTCAGGCTTTCATGAAATGGAAAAATACTACCAGCATAGCATCATCAAATACCTATTATTTATTAGATCCTCCTCTCTGAAGCTTTCAATGATTTTATTCCACATCTGAGCAAACCTTGCTGCTTCCTTCTCTTTACTGGATGGGATCTGAAGGCAACAATATGTACACAAATGTTACCAACAACTTTTGAGAAACCAACAAAAAGAAAGTAACAGCAAATCTGACATAGTATAGCAAGTTATTTTACTAATATGAACCTCATCAAATTTCCGAGAAAATGTTGCCTTCAGTCCCTTCTTAGGTTTTTTACCCTTCTCCACAGGAATTAAGCAGGCATTAAAAGCACCAGGCAATGACTGGAAGCGAGACCTCAGCATTCCTAAGGTTCTTATCTGACAGAAGATATGTTCCAAATTCATAAGCTAAATATCAAAAAGCATCTGATCTCCTAAAGAACAAAAAAGAATAATTTAGATTACTGTGATGGTCAATAAACTTTTTCAAACGTACTATTCCAGGCAATTTAACTGTTCAAAGTCACACTTCAGCCACTCAACATTAGAAACACGTGATATCTTGCCATTCAGTCCAAGTAGCACATCAAGTTACAAAAAGTGCCACATTAGTTGCAGGCAATTTTTTAAATGAATTTTTTTCAGATCATCATTTCTCTCTTTCTTTCCCCTTTCTCTTTTCTTTGCTATCTTTTCCTTCCTCCTCCTTGTTCTACCTTCCCAAACTCTAGGTGACAAGACAACAAGCTATAGTAGGCCTCTACCAGTCTTATGAAGCAAACCCAAAAACAATTCATGGAGGTTTTGGAAATTAATGAAAGCAAGAGCACAGTGTGTAACATGCTATGTCTCAAAGAAATGATTGAACTCTACAGAAAAAAATGCAATATGGTCATTTCAAAAACATAGAGAGACTGATACTTTCAAATTACCAATTTCCCTTAAAATGAAGCTCAACTGATACTGAGAAACAGAGAATCAATGAATCAATAATAAAGCAATGCAAAATGCTTAATTGAACCACAGAGTGATAAAATGCATTCTTTACCCTTATAACAAATACCAATATTGCTTCCTTGTAGGAATTCTAAAAAGTCACCTGCTAGATTTACCAGCCCCTCTGGTTTGCTACAACATGTACCTAAGCAACTCATTGTTTGGACCAGTTATTGTGTATCAACTAAGCAAAAGATCTGATTAAGGGGTAATTATTCAGTCTTTTCACAACAAATATATCTTTGATATTCAATAGCACGAAATTCAGTCCATGTACCAAGTGGCCAAGGTTACCAACCTAATGCTGATTCCTCCTAAGATTAGAGGAACAAAAAACTGCTCTCATTCCCCCCCTTACTATCCCCCCCCCCCCAAAAAAAAAAAAGAGACTGAAACTAAGAGTATGAGAAGTTTAACCAACCTCTCCTAGACGCCGAAAAGCTCCATATATGCCGCCAAATATTGTGGAGAAAATAGCATACCAGATCTGTATATCCATGAAATAGACCTGGGAACAAAATGAAACTGCATTTTGTAAAAAGAAAAGGAAAGATGAAGAAAGCAAGACATAAAGCAACAAGAGAGAAGATCAGAATGAGGACAACTTATCTCATTAGGAACTGCAAAAAATTAGTATTATTATGACCAGGAACTTACTAGAATGATAGGAGCCCAGAGTGCAATCACCACTCCTATATTTTTATTTGCTGTAAAATGATCATAAATAGACATTTAGAGGGATAGCAATTTTACATTTACACAACATCTCTAAGGGAGATTTACATAATTGGATACCTCGAGGGAAGAACTCATGCCATGCATAACGTGATATGTGAACCTTCATTATTTCTTTTGTTGGATTTACGAGAGGCTTTATCTGCAATAAAAATCTGTCAAGCCTATCTTTTACATCTAGGCTGATAACTGACCTCCAGATTAATTTCCTTGAACAAAGAACTTTGTGTAACATAAAGCAGTCATGGCAGAATGGTGGTCTCAGCTACAAATCTACCTGAAACACTATGTCATTAATTTGGTCCACCGCAGCCCTTACACCTCCAAGTTATCTTAATTTCTATTTGCAGAGTCAATTTGTCCAAATCGTACTATATATCACAGGATTATTGACACAAGGAAACTGATCGATTCTCAAATGTGAATTGATGGACAAGAAACTAAATGGTGCTAGTCAGGAAAAAAAAGGATAAGACTAAAAGAACAGATAAGGGATGCATGCGGCTAAAGGTCAAGTTACACCCAGTTAATAAAGGATTCTGTTTGATAGAGTATAATGACAGCTTATTATGCATATCGTCTTGCTAGGTTCAAACCCACCTTTTAGTCCAGCACCATGAAGACCAAGAACAAAGAAGAATCTGAATACAAAAGTCTTTTCTGCTTTTTGGTGGTAATTTAAAAATACAAAGTATATACTTCTCTCCTACATAAATCTTATCCACAGCCATTGACTTTATAGGTATTTTACTAACTGTGGAAGAATCCATTTTCACGATCATACCTATGATATAATCAATCAATCATGTGGAACGCCAAGAGACAGAAATTTTTCGTGACATGACTAGACTACTGATTTAATACTGGGATTAATATTATATTTAAAGCATGCTAAAAGTGTAGCTTCGTTTACTTTCTGTGAGATGAAATCATGGTAAACAAAGAGGATTCGTGGCATCACCTCTATAAAGAAACTGAATGCCAGCTTGGCTGCTAATAGGAGAACCCAAAATAGAGTGTATCTGGGATAGATGATTATTAATAGTGATCAGGATACATCATACATAAATCTTCCCAGGCAATGAGAAAAGCTCAGAAAGTTTACTTGAAAAGAGAAAATGTACTCTCTTGCATCCCCCTGCCAACAAAGAGTCGAGGCTGCATTGTTCAAGCAAAGGAAATTGATTGCATGACAAGATGACTTTAAGAATCAGAAAAAATATCTGAAGCTTAAAATACAGGAGACTAACTCATTTAGAATGCATGAGCTTATATACCTGAGACCACCACATAATGAGCCTGAAGATTTTATAATCCGACTTCTCAAGATACCGGCGGATGAAGGGAAACAGAAACAATAATCCAGAGAGCATGTTGGGAGACAAATATATCAGACTTGCAATAATAAAGAAAGAAGGGGAACTTGCACCATTTCCAAACCAATTCCTAATGGTCATCGCAATTCCAGCAGTGTTTTTCCAACTATATGCATAAGTGACTGGCAAAACAATCACCCAAGCAGCTGCAGAAACCACCTTTAATACATATCTTAGCTTCACATGTGGAGACATGTTGTGCCATGCTTTCCAACTCATAATTACATCCACAACAGCTGAATATATGATGAAAAAGAAGCCATACATTAAATACAATCTTGTGCAGCATATGTGGCATACAGAAAAATGTAGACACACAATGACCTCCTCTTTCCTACAAAACTTAAGCAGTCATTTTTGGTTTTATGCATTGTGGACCAAAAGTACAGCACCATAAACCAGATAAGAACACTATTTTTGCTGACCTTGCTGATTCATTTGGTGTGATTGTCAAAATCCTAATCCTTTCCCAGGATTACATTTACAGTAGCAATGTGAATTTTTAACAAGGTTAAGCATATCCAGTATACGCATGAATATCTTGAAAATAACGTATCAAGAAATAACTGAACAAGCAAAAATGTTAACAACAAAGAACATGAAAGACCGCACATGTCACTATTAGTTGACATATAGAGCATTAAGACATCACAAAAATGTAATCTAACAGAACGAGATTATGATATCCATTCACCTTGGATAAGTTTCAGTATTGCAGCAGTTATGAAAATGCTCAAGACTTTCTTGAATACATTTGCCTCAAATACAGAACCAAGATCGCCTGAGCCATTCCAAGCAACGATGATCATAGCCTGTGTTAATGACATAATAGGTGTTATACTTGGAGGAATAGAAAACAAAAAAAAAGGTAAAGGAAAAACAAACAGATTACTGAGACACTTAATTACAACTCCAAGTAAAACGGGCCAATTATAAGTTTTCTGATGATGCTCTTCCAGAAGGTTCTGAGGGATTTTCTATAAGTACTCTTAAAGTGTAGGGAAACCTCCACAATATCCTTCTAGAGCTGTATTATCTCTTTGGAGGGCAGCCAGTATCTCCCCAGCCCCCCCCCCCGGCGCTTTTTGGGCTCACAGGAGGCTGCTTGGGGTATGCTTCTGACCACCCCCTAACTGCAATACTCGTTCGGTTGCCCACCACTTTACTAGGTTGGGCAGGCGTTTTTTGCCCCTGCTCCCAACAAGTTGCTGGTCAGCATAATGGAACTACAACTTGAGAAGTAAGTAACCTGGTCCTTGTTTTATTGCCATAGGTCAAGTGTGTCAAGAAGTTGATGAATAGCAGCAGAAGATGAGAAAGAAAGGAAAAACTTGGGATGTTGAAGAGCTGGAAAAGAGAGAGTGAATATAATCCTTCTTTCTTTGTTATTAAGTTGTACAGATTTTCTTTTCAAGATAGAAGAACAAATTTTATAAAACAAAGACAAGTGATACAACCTCGAGGATGAGAAGTCCTCAACAAAAAAACATAAAGGAAGTAAAATTCTGGCTTCTCCAGTTTTCTTTTTCTCTTTTTCATTCAACAGTTGCATTCCACTTCATCTCCTGCTAGGCATTGGATCTTTTTTTTTTTTTTAAATTAGCAGGTTTAATGGGGGTATAAGTGCTATAATGTGAATGGATCTTTATTCTCATTCAAATTTGAAATAAGTATTGGTTGACATTGCAAATATAACCATTAGAAACAGGAAAATTTAACCCCATTTAAACTTGATAGGTTCGAAAAGGATTAAGTGTCAACTTCAAGGAGGTAAGCTGACTCTAGCCAAAAGCTAAATATATTCACAACATAAATAAAATGATTACCTGCAAGCACAAAATAAAAAAGCTCCACATCCTATCAAAACTCCTAAATATGTGCCAAAACGAGCGTATCTCAACAAAATTAATTTTTCCCATCCATCGATCCCCTGTACTTCGTTCACTTTCCTGGTAGCATCACATCCACATAGGAGCAAGTCTTTAGGTCATATATCCAGATAACGAGTGAACTATCTTCATTAAGAAACAGATAAAATGTCCAAGAGAAATTAACTGGATGAACAATTTAGGGATTAAGAAGAAAATCATTTTTAATAAAAAGCTGCAAAAGACAAGAATGACATGAATAACATGGTCAAGTAGTCGAAAGAGGTAATCAATCATTTCAGGTAGAAGAAAGCTTTTTAATAGTGAACATACAGCTAAAGGTATATTATTCTGGTAAGAGAAAGAGAAGGGCAGTGAACAAACTTTCACATAATTAGAATATTGCAAACATTGTATTTCTGATGTTTTCTGAAATGCAAATGTAAATAGTATCAATTTTCCTGTTCTGCTTTCATCATTTATCAGTTCTTATCCTCAGAAAGATTATCATCCAATAGAAGTCAGCAATCTAAGCACCAGTTTTGCTGTCTTACCAAACTGACTGTTGCGCCTTTATCACTGAAAGACTAAATATTGTAGTCTTCAGCAATGAAAAAGTTAATTGGCTCAACCATATGGAGCATTTTAGTATGAATATCTACCAATAGGCTTAATGACATCAAAATTGGGTATGCCTCAACATATAAGAAAATCCAGAATTTTTTGTTGTGAAAGAATTTGGCACTTTGAAATTGGACAAAAACAGTTAGCTTCACAAAGATTATGAAGGGATACTCAATGCAATACAGAGAAGGAAGAACAACTTTACAAAGTATTTACGAGAATTTGTTCCGTTTACTCAACTTACAAGTAACTTCACATTTATATTTAAATAGGAAATTTCGTTAAAAGAGCTCCATTCAACCAACCAATTAACATATTATCAGAAACATTACTAATTTTATCTTCTTCTTTCCTAATCACCAGAGACAGGTAAAAGTTCAATTATTTTTGCAGCTAAAAGGAGGATATAATATTTGAAAGACAAAATTTGGTCTAGCCCTATCAACAACAAAAAAACAAAAAAAAAAAAAAAAACCTGAAGTGAAATGTAAGAACTGTGCCTCCAATAGAGGATAATAATTTTGCTCTTCAAAGTCAATTAGAAAAGAGAGGATCTAGTAACTGACAATAATGAGGTAAGAATGGTATAATCAGAAAATAGTATATACCTCAGTCTTGTCACTGCGATGCCTTTCACCAGGAATACAGAAGAAGTCGGAATCAGCACGCATTGGCCATCCGAGCCTGAAACAATTTTCTGACCTGCAATTTGTTGCCAAGCACTACTGAGTTTGCACATTTTTTGAACTGGAAAACATTGACTCCTATTCTAAAGAAGCTTACCAGAAGTACTCATTTAAATCATCGTAGTTTCTCCATTGAGCATGCTTTGATTTTCCATCTTTGCTCCTTTTAGCTTCCTGTGTGGCAGAAAAAGCAGTAAGAGACAAAACCCACCTAAGCTAAAGATGGAAACAGGAAAGTTTAGAATCTCAGAAGCCAGCAAGAAGCAATTACCCCAGCTATAGTGTTATAAATTGGAGTTACGACTTTCTTCAGGAAAGCCTCTTCATCACCACCATAGGCAGGCTTAATAGTCTCACCTGTTGTAGGACTAACACTTCCAGCAAGCAGACCATAAAGTTCAAAGGCCATCTGAATATAAACAGCAGAATAACTTAATATCGAGGAGATTGATTGAATTCAATATAATCAGAACTTGAGCATAATAAGTTGAAAAATATGTCAGCTTGGATGTGCAGTTCTTTGAGAAGCAACAAATTTATTACTAATAATAGTTTTGTCATAGTTCATTTAATACCTTAACAACTTGATACTAAAGCATTCAACAAGCATTGAAATACATATGCTACTGTAGACAAGTTGATCAGATTTGTTTTTCATTGGGAACAGCCTTTCCTTTTTCTTTTGAATTCACAGTCATACAAGGTTTCCAACAATCCAGTGCCCAGAAAGTGAATATGTATGTTCCCCAAGATACTGCAGATGCTCAATTTTACAATGCCTTTTTATTCTTCTTCTCTCTTTATTTCCTAATATTTGACGCTAGTCCCTAATGGCTGGATCCTTTGTGTTTCTCTCTTCTACCAACAAAGCACAAAACTCCCAACACCTTCAGCAATTCAAGAAGGCCACAACCATCCTTAATACCCATTTTTCTGCTGCCATTGGTAAATTCCTTTCACTTCTCCGATACCAGTTTTCTTTTCGACACTACTAAGTGACCTGACTTGCAGCTAAGATAGGAAGACCGTAATCTGCATCAGTTCTCTATGTAAAGTAGAATAGAATACACTCAAAACAAACGCAATCCTTTAACCATAAAAGTGGAGTTTATGAATATCACAGGCAGACAAATCATCACAACAATTTATGTTATCAGGCTATACAGACAAGACAGTTCCATCAAGAATCAAGCAATTATCCAAACTCACTAGCTACAGCCAACCCTATGCATCTTTCCAGGGAATTTGTACTTCACACCAAAAGAACATGACTTTAGAGCAGGGGAATTTGTGGGTTGCAACTGAAGCTATTGCCCTACATGTTCTGATCACCCAAATAACAGGCTCACCTATATATGGAAAACTAAGCTGTTAAGGCAGTCCAATCATGCATCGAAAACAAACTAAACCATCTGTGGTTACTAAATGCAGATGATACAAAACCATTCCTTTTTATGCTGTAACTGACTGTGCTCAAATTCACCAGACCAATTAAAATAAGATCTCAACATATTGAGGAATAGTATTTTAACCTAACAACCAAGGAATCAAATAAGCACTTGTTCTTCATCTAAATATCATGTACAGCATTGATATAAGATGAAATTGCTCTAGTACAGAACCAGAAACAGATACGTGCGTTGAGAAATATATAAAAACTGCATCTTTTAGTGCTTGTGTTACAAACTGGACATGCTTCTTCTGGACTCAATCAGATTCCAATTTTATGTGCATAACAGAAAAGAGTTACAAGAAAAGGCAAAACTTTACAGAATTTTAGTTGCAATAGGCAGGAAGAGAGCCAAAAGTAACAAGAGACCTTCAAAGTTGACAAAAAGGATTGGATATCTCACTATAAAACAGGGGGAAAAAAGTAATCGTACATGATGGTAGATATAACAGAGGCATTCTGGCATAAATCGTAAATTTGCAGCCTCCCCCCAGATAAGAAGATATAAGCCCATGTATAACAGCTTCCTTTGCTGCACTTCTTGTTGGATTGTCGGCAACCTGCAAATGGAGACAATAATGGAATAAGAAGTCTAAAAACCAACAAAATGAGGCAAAAGAATGTAAAGATACAAACAAAAAGCAGAGTGTAGAATATTAACTTATGGAGGAGGAGGTGAATTCACTTACCAAAGACTACTCTTGCGACCAAGATACTTGCACCATTTCTTGTAGTTTTTGAAGAGCTTTTTCATAACTTCTGTAAGTGCCTCGTCATCCAACTAGAATACAAAGACATACAGGACAGATCATCAGAACACGGGCGATCCCACAAAAAAAAGTAGAAAAAGTTGAGGGGTGGCAGTTTAGGTGAAATTATGGAAGCGAAGTACTTTGGGCTGCTGATCAGGCTTTGGAAATTGACGAATGTGCACATTTGCCAGCAACAAGATTAAGTGTTCCCGCTGATTTGATACATTATGCTTCTGTAGATGAATAATACTTCAGCGAATAAAATCATTACAAGAAGCAATGAGCAATGCTGTTCATCTCTAAGTCGCATATGCAACCAGTCGCATATGCAACCATTTGGCCATGCCCTACTTCTCAGTCATCCATGTATATACACATACAGCTCTAGCAGAAGCAGCACTTACCTGAAAACCAAACATAACCTGAAGCCAATCTAAAATATCCTCATCAACTTTTTTCTTATGACCCTTAGGCCATGGTAGTCCTCTAATATTACGAAGTGCGGAAACTGAAGCTTGAATCTGTGACAATGCAAAAGGTCCATAAATATGCTGAATACTGGCCCTTACCTATAATTTGATGAAATTACTAGAAACGAACCTCAGGATATCTCATAATTGCTTGACTTGCACTGTCAGGATCCAGGGGTAGTATATTATAAGGGACATAAATTGCTGTCTTCTCTGTAACCTTTGTGTGAGCTTCCAAAATCTACATCCATAAAAACTAGGGATGTATAAACGGTTGGAAAGATGTAAGATCAAGGAAATAGGAAGCATCTATATCTCTGGAAAAAGTGGAGACTGCTATCATAATCTGTTATGACTAAAGGAACTCTTTTTTGAGTATGAATTGAGGAACTTGTCTTCGGCATGAGCAAAGGGGCTTGTCATTAACAGGTTGAGTAACTATTGTAATTGACTCTCTTTTTCTTTTCCTTTTCCACTTCTTTTGCAGAAGAAATGTACATGGAGAACTGAAGCAATTAACAGGATGAAACCTCCTCAAGCAGATGCATAGAAAAGACTTCCTCTGCAAATTGCCAGTATACTTTCCTGTACAATCAAGATTATCTATGATCTACAAGGAAAGAAAGTAGAATACCTCATCAGCAACTTCAACTGCTTCTGTCAAATTAACGGCCTTCAAGACCTCAAAAAGTACAGCAGCAGTTTGGTATGCTTTTGTGAGTCGAGCACTGGACAGAAAAGAGATCATAAAGAAGCATTAAGCAAGGAATCTGCACTTAGCTGTTAAGAAATAAATGCCCACGACTGCAGAAAACCTACCGATCAGCTTTATCAGCAGCATGCAACGCCTGAATATACTTCCTGTAGTAGTGCTGATAGAAACTCTGCATTTCTCGAGCATCACTCTTTGTCCTTCCAGCTATTGTTGTATCATTTTCCTGTCAAGATATCCAGATTATACGAATTTGCTCAGGCAAACTTAACTGGAAAATGTAGGAATAGAAATGGCTCATTCATCTTTAGATGAAGACAAGCAGCAAGAATATGTTTGGGTAATCCAAATATGGTGGATTAGCCTGATAACAAAGTCCTCTTGCTGATACAAGCACTAGAATATTCTAAAGTTACATCGAGTAACTAGACACAATTTTTTCATTTCAATTTCATGAAAATTTGACATTACCCTTTCCAAACGTTGAAGCAGGGCTGTTTTGAACTGACGGACTCCTCGTCCACTTGATGTTGGATCCAAACGGTGAGCTTTCTCAAAGGCATAAAACCGACCTGAGTCCCCCAGCAAGGCCATTAGAGTATGTAATATGGTGTAAATACATTTCATTCATTCCCTTCTAAATGCCTCAAAAGTTTGAGTACTAATCATCTACTAAAAGACAAAATTTGTAACAAGTGAATTTCAGGAAACCATATAAACATTAGCATGTCCAAACAACTTATCATCCTTCCTATAGTCACAAAAAAGGAGGGCGATAGCATTAGTACCACAACATTTAACTAGAATTTGATGCCTGTATGACTTGTGCAGACTGAAACACTAGTTTGAGATTAAGAAGTGTAGCATAACAGTCAGTAAATTAATAGCATTTAAACTCATATTTTCTTCTCATACCACGTTGGTACAACATTATCAGCTGAACAGCCATACAACCTTCAGTATTAAAATTCATCTAGACATGCACTCAGCTCTTACAGCCAATTAGTTGATATCCACCAACGGTTTTTAGATGATGGATTGCTTAGATGTCATATGCACATATTTGTGTAATAAGTAACAACCAACACAAGGATATTGAAATGGTCATGGACTCACAGAGATAAGCGACCCTGGGATTAGTTGGCTCGACCTCATTGGCAACACGTAGAATTGGTGCAATCTCTACCAGTGATGATGGAACCACCTCACTGTCCATCATAGACTCCCCTAGATTACCAGCAGTCTGTGTCCGCAGAATACGCCTCTGCGGTTGGAGGTCCGATCCCCTCCTTTGGTAAGCCATCCTTTTTTAATTTATAACCTCAACAACAAAATCAAATTACCCTACAATTCACCTGTCAAAACCCAAAATTGAAATGAACAAAATGTCACACCTTAACTATTTAATAAGAATTTGAACACTAAAAGACAAGAATTTCAGCTCTTCAGCTTTAGTGGCCTGAGGAAAAGAGTCGCCGCAGAGGGAAAAAACAGAAAGAAAGAAATTTCCACTCATCTCTTTCTAACTACAAGAAGAGAACCACTTAGTTTCTTTCAAGAAACATTAAAGACATGGCAAAATTGGACTAGTCCCTCCATAGCTGCATCTTCCTTCTTTATTCCCTTAACATTTCTACTCTGATTACATCAAATTAACAGCAAAACGTATTACAGAGAAAACAGAATTTAATCATGAATGACCCTGAAAACCCATATTTGGTATCCCCTCAGAAAACAGAGGAAATACGGTTTCTCGTATCCCTGAAACAATCGAAACTCGTATTTCTTTTTCCAAAACCTCAACTTCCTTTCCAACATAAAAGTAACTGAACTCGAATTTAACCAACAGTGACTCAAACTAACACCAGGCTGCTTATCAATTGAAAAAACAAAACAGAGAAAATCCTACTTTTAATCAAGAAACAGAATTCAGCGTGCTTTTCTTCTCTGTTTGGTGATCAAAGCTTACCAAAAGAACAGTACAGGTAAAGGGACTCACAGATGACTTGAGAACAGCAAAAACAACTAGAAATTTACCATGAAAGATTTTATTTAGGAAATTCTTGAAACTCTGCTGCTTCCAGAGCAGAGGAATGGGACAGTGGAGCTGCAGTAAATAGTGTCACACCATGGCTTTAATGGAACAAAACAGTTGAAGTCCAGGTGTACGGGTGTGAGAAGACTAAGAAAAGACTGTACAGAGAGTTACGTGTAAAGAGAGAATAAATGGAGAGTGAGCGAGCGAAGAGAAGGCGGCACCTAACTGACATGAAAGTAAGCAAAAACATTATGGGCAAGGAAAGAAGCTAAGGCGGGCAACCGAACGAACTAGAGTTTGCTAGTGCTTGCTTGTAGTAATAGTGACCAAAGATGGACCAAAGGTGAAAGAGTGGCTAATTACTGGGATAATATCACAAACCTCCTCGTTAGGTTTTAAAAATAATCACTTGTCTTCCCCCTTATAATTGCAAAATGACTATATTATCTCTCACTGAATATATAATTGACATATCTAATAAATGAAACTCAAAAAAATTAAAGAAAAAAGAAACAAAAATTCACTTTCTTCCCTTTTCCCTTTCTCCAATATCTTCTCTTACTCTTTTTTTTATTTTGATGACTATGCAATTTTTTATTTGGAAACATAGTAAATTAATTTTGTTTATCTTTTTCTTTTTATGATTATGATACAGTAGGGTATGATTTTTTTGTGTATTTTGCATAATTTTTATAGTAATTTAGTACTACAACTTAAAGGTTTATAGAATGGGTTGAAAAGAGATTGGGGAAAAAAATGTTCATAAGAAATCGATTTTGAGAAAATAGAGTTGAATTAGTGCTAGTGTATTTATTTACAAATGTTTTTTTATTTTCCAAATTTATATTTTTATAGACTATAGTTTTGTGATGTGATGGTACTATTAGAGATTTTTTTTAGGTTGTGGTTTTTTTTTTTTTTTGAGTAAACAAAGTGGTTTAGGAGCATTTTATTTAGTAAAATAAGCAAAATAATAGCTCAGGGTTTTAAAATATTTTGCTACTCAAATAATAAAAATAAAGGAAATAAATAAAATTTTTAAAATTTTAGGGATGCTAAGTGATATTGAGAGAAACCTGAGCGAAGGTCCCTAATAGTATCCCCTATTTATTTTGGCGTTTTTAAGGTTTTCACTCTTGAGGGGGAATATTTTGTGGGGATTAAGGTTTTTTTTTATAACTTCCATGAAATTGGGTAGCAAATTCACACAGTTTTGGTCGGTTTCTATTTGTTTGAGGTTTAGGAATTTCATGAGTTTTAAATGGGATTGCAGCTTCCAAGGAATAAGAATGCCAATTCGTGGATAACAACCATATTTTTAAATTTACACAACGAAACAGTGAATGTAACTCATTTATTCACACAACGTTTTTTTAAAAAAAAAACGATCTGTAATCGGCACGTTTGTGTTCATATTTTAAAAAAGTAACAATTGTTAATATGTAAATTCATGTAATAGGTGTTATAGAATAGATGCGATCTCAATGAAAATACTGACGATGGCTCATTGGACACCCGTTAGAAAAATCTAAAACTAAAAACAAAATAAAAAAAAATGCATACTATTTTAAACTCTTAATTTACGTGAGCTCCTATACTAAGGTTGACTTGCCTTCATCACAAATTTGAATAAATCATTAATGTGTAATTGCTCATACGTTTTAAGATTAACAACAGGAGTAAAATTAGGTGATTTCATATGTTCAAAACCTTACCGTTACAAAATTTCACTGCATAAAGTGGATTATTATGGTAAAACATAGTAACATTTTTCGTGAAAAGTATGCGTTGCTTGGGGGGTTTAAAAGCAAAAAAAGATTGTTGATTTGTTGTGTATTCTTGCCGAACCTATACTCCTTCCGGGCCGCACTTGCCCTTTGCCATAAATGACTATTCGTCCACTCTAAATGGCATATCTTATCTCATTAAAAGGCGGCTTCCTATCTTGTGCATTATTGTGTTTTTGTTCAAAAGCATCACACAGTCATCAACTGCCTTTTCCACGGACAAGGACAAGAAAGCTTCAAGAATTGCGCCCTTAGATAAAGGGATCAGTGCTAAAAACCATGCACAACATAATATAACAAAAGTAATCCAAATGGCCAAGCAGGCAATCTTTTTATAGTATTAAATTTCCTTCTTGATTGGGATTTTGTGACCCACATTCTTTGGGACTCGGGGCACGGACCAGAATAGTGTACCATTTTTTCAACAAATTGTAATTACTCCCTCCGTCCTACTTTGATAGTTCCGTTTCTTTGTTCACACCATTTAAGAAAAAGTAGTTAAATTTATTGAAAAAGTAAATTTAGATTGCTATTTTCCTAAAATACCCTCACATTAAATATGGTACAACTTTATGGGAACTTGAATTGATGGTAAAACAAGAATCAACTCTCATTAAATGGGGTAGGTTTATAGTAACAACTACTTACATTGAATAAGGGTATTTTAGGAAAATTAAAGTATAACTACATTCTTCAATTGGAAAGTGGACTATAATTTAGGACAGATGAAAAAGGAATACAGGACTATCAAAGTGGGACGGAGGAAGTATTTTTTAATTACCTGTACACACGTACAATAGGAGTGCAATATTTTGTTATTGTTCATGCGAGTTTCATGCACAATAATAATAATTGTGTCTGTTATGAAATTTTACGAGTGGTTCATGCCCCTTGTAAATTTGATTGCAGGGCATGCCCCTTTTTAAGAGTTATAATTTATGTCTTACTGAATGATGAAAAGAATCTTACTATCATGACTGTTATAGTAATTTGGCAAAGAATAAACAAATGAAGAAAATCAATACAGCAACAAAACTCGAGATTTTAAAACTCAGACCGATATTAAGAGTTCTTTCTGTAGCAAGATTTTAAAAAAAATTAATTAGCATTATTTTGCAATTGGATGGTCGAGATTCACGTTCAAGGCCAAATTGATCAAGGATTGGGCCAAAAATTCGATGCTTGGATGGAATATGAAAAATTCATGCGGTCGTATTTAGCTGTGTGTGTCAAATGTACCCTACAGAGTTACTTATCCCTGCTTTCATAGTTGTCCGAAATTGGGTCCATTTGTTTCGTACAAATTTGACTTCGACATGGCGCTGAGGATTTTCTAGCCATGGTAATTTGGCCATATTCCCGATTTTAGAGTCGTATTTACTTTTTATTTTTTTCGTCAGCAACGATACATTTATACTAGTGTGAATACCCGTGCTACGCACGGTGCTGATATTATTGAAAAAAATAAAATGGTGAACAACTAAAGGTGAAAAATTGAACCAACAAAATTTAAATGTAATATCTGTTTAACAATAGTTTGAAATATAATAGAATGTGTATATCATTCAAGAACTGTCTTTTTTCGAAAGATGGATCCTGAAAAAAAAATTAAAATTTATATTAAAAAAGTGAATGATATATTTCTACAAATGAATGCAATTGAATGTTGTTAAAATGAAATACTTACAAATACTAAGCATTCGATTTGATAATCTTTCTTGAAGGTGCGAACACTCTTCACACCAATCCACTTTTAGTACGAAAGCCAAAATTGATAATTTAATTAACTATTTTGAATTTTGTGGAGTGTGTACTACAAATGAAAATGCACGATCTTTGACGATATAAAAAACTGTATATTTACCATGATCACACAAAAGTATTGGTGATGCGGATGGCTGTCGAACTTGAAGAGAGACAATATTTTCATTTCTTTGATCTAGAAAAAATATATATATTAAATCAAAAATAAATAGTTTTGTATTTATTTTATGTGTAGTAAGTGATACATTGTATGAGAATTGTTAACAAAAAAATATAATAGTTAATATAGAAGTAGCATTAATAGAATTTAATACAATTGTGTTGTAATCAAGTGAAAATTACGCACCAATAGAATTGTTATTAGCACTCATAGTTAATGAAGTAATCCCTTTATAAATATATTTTGGTATATGTAGACCCCCCAAATCCCGCAAAACCAATCACCACTTATTGAAAACAAACCAATAAATGCACTAAAATGCCTCCCATCTATACCTCAAATTGCACTTTAACCCATGAATTTTATGCGAAATTATCCCTCTAATTGCTTTTGTCCTTTTCGATTTTTTCACATGTCGCTAACTGCTTCATTCCCTCTGCTATCACTTGTATATTTAAAATCAATTTTTAATATTAAATAAAAATGAATGTATTAGTTTATAATATGTTCATAATGTGGATAAATTATTAAATTTGGAAAAGGGCGTATGTTCTTATAGGCTTATTTTTATTTTTTTTTTGGAAAATGAATTTGTTCTTGTAGATTTTTTTTTTTTTGATACAGAATTGTTTTTCAAAGATTTTGGTTCGTAGTCCCTACTATGTTTAAACCATCTTTTAATATCCAATTCAATATTGTCTTTTAATTTGGCAGCCTCTATAATTTTTAATTTATTCTTTTGGTTTAAGTTCAGTTTGAATTCAGAATTTTTCAAATACCAAGAGAAACCAGATTTTTTTTTAAAATCACTGTCTTGAGTCAGGTAGAGCGCCGAAATATGAGTCAGGATTATTTCTTTTATGCAGTTAGTTTCCTGATATCTGGTATGATATATAATTATGTCCCTTGGATTTTTTTTTCATATAGATATTGTTAGGTCTTTGGCATCACTACTGAACATTATCCAAACTTAGAATGACGCGTTTTTTCTAATCCAATGGATGCAAAAATACAAAAATAAAAAAAAATGAAGGTAATATTGTGATTCAAACTCTAAAAAGTAGGATACCATCTTTCAAGAAGTTTCATGCCTTTTTTAGCATCTTAAAAAGATGCAACATAGAACAGTTATTTGAATGCTAATAAACTCTCTTTCTACCAATTTTGAAAGGCCAACCATTAAAAGTAAAGTGAAAATTATTGCAGTCAATGCAGAGAGAAAATGATAAAGAAAAGAAATGCTAGAATGCAATTTTGCCAAAAGAATTTCTGACAAAATTAAAAATTAATCCAATTTTAATAATGGGCGTATAGTGCCTTAGTTATTAGTAGTATCTGAATTGTTTTTCTCTAATTATAAATCATTTTTAATTATTTTTTATTATCAAAAAAATATTTTTTTTATTTCATGCACGATCATTTTTGGAATAAAATTATGAAAATAACTATCGTAACACCTTTTTTATGTGATAAATGTGCAATAAAAAATAATTAAAAAAATTTCAGTAATACAAACAAATAAATTTTTAT